CACCGCCGTTTCCACCCACCTACTCTACCTCCCCCAGGCTAAAGGATGTCTGCACGCCTGCTGCTGATGAGGAAGCTTCCTCCGAACTCCAACAATTTGTCACTGTGGCAAAGAAACCTACTAAACCTCCCCCCACCATTGCCACCGGCGATCGAATGCCCAAATTCCAGGTAAATTATCGCAAGACAACCCGCCAGTCTTTGGCGCTGGCGTACGGTGCTGCATTGGAGACGGAAAAGGCTCAGGGTGAGGAAGAAGCGGTAGAGCCAGGCAATGATGATGAGAATAAGTGCCCTTGCGCCTCTCCACTTAGCCTCTCTCCGCTCATCCTTCGAGCCCCACTGGTTAAGCAGTCATCGCCGGCCTCTCCACACCCCCTTCGCCCCGTGGCAAAATCCTTAGTCGTCGCCTGTGGCCACTTCTTTCGTGGCGACCCCAACTACGGCGGTTTTGGCAACCCCTTCACTTTTGTGCTGCACCATGGTGAGCGTGTCTCCTACCTCCTGGAGCGAATCCGACGACGTCTAGGTGCAAGTCCTCAGGAAGCCGAAAAGTGGCGTCTGGCGGTGCTACCGGGACCGATACCGGCTGCGGCCAGTCATGTCGGCTTAGAACGCCTGCTGGAGCCGCTGGTGCCTACACAGGAGAGCCTCCTGATGATGATGCGTCCCACTTACCTGCCCAGTGACCGCAATAGTTGCGTCAACCTCTCCGTCTTCCTCACACCGATGCTGGCTAATCTCCTGAGTCGGGAAAATGCGACAAATTATGGGCCGGTGGATTCAGAATCGTCGGACTTGGCGAGACTGCTTCTACTCTTTGGCATGCGACCCTGGCTTGGCATTGAGCACAAGATCCCTCCAAAGCGTCCACGATGTGTACTTTCAGAAAAGCCCATACGTATTTTAAACTGACTTTGATAAAGATGTATATTTTTTCTCTTTGGAAGACTGGACACTCAGGTGCCTCGTGGAGCTACCTTTGATTCCCCTCTGGCCCCTCTGCTTCAGAAGATGACCAACTTTTGCAAATTTATCAGGAGCGACACCAAGCCTCTAATCTCCTCCTGACTTTTTTAAAGTGCGATAAGGAGTCTTTGGTTTTTTATCCGTGGACCCGACCATTCCCCTATTCACTTTTTCGTGCTACCCTCATCTTTCCCCACACAACAACCCGCGTGGAATGTTACCTCCTGCTGGCTCATTGGTAGGACTTACTTCTGCCAGCTTGTGAATATTAAAGGCTAAAACACTGTAAAGGCACAAGCTCATCTTTCTGTTCGCCTTTTCCTTCTCTTCGTTCCCCGTTCTTAGGTTTTCTGGCGTGCGGCGGTTGATTAGCTGTTGGCCACTTGATTGCTAAGCATGGACGGTTGCAATTGGTTGTCATAGTCTCCTGCCGGTCGCTAGTCTGAGGATATTGTCAACCCTTACTATCGTCTGTACTCTTGCAGCAGAATATGAGTGCACGAGGCCTTGGACAGTTGTGTCGCTTCGACGCTACATTTTCGGCGTGCGGAAGTTCAACATTTTGAAGACCAGATGGCGAGCCTACGTCTGCTTTCGATAAATTCTTGTAAGGCCAGTACATTTATATGGTAACGGGTGGAAGCAAAAACATGTCAGTGATGAGAGAAATCGATTAAGGTTCGTCTTAAAACACAGGCGGGGTGTGGAAATGTGGGTGCAGGAGGAGGAGGAAGGGGGGGGGGTAATAGCAGTCGATGCCAGGGACGGAGTGAGAGCGGGAGGGCGCGACGGAGAGTTGCATGCAGTTAGTCGGCTGTTGACCACGGTAGGTGCGGCACCCTAACATGGTTCTTGTGTGCGCACAAGATTGGGTTTTGTAACCTGATGGCCGCCGCTTCTGCTGTTGCCAACAGGCGCTAGCCTAGTAACCTAGGGTAGCTCGATGAGACCTTATAAATCACACAAAAAACTTCCCTGGGGCCCACACGATGCCCGGGATCAACAACATGCACGAGAATGGTGCTTTTTATGCTCGTAATTTGGCCTTTTCTCAGCCATGCCCGGAGTTGTTCTCGTATTCGCCGACTCGCTCGGCTAATGTAACCTGCTCCACAGGAGCAAGTAAAGGAGGAGAAACACGTTGATGTGGTCTGAGTTTGCAACTTACCCTTACCTTCTCCGCGTAAAATGGGGTTAGTATAGAATAGCACTCGAGCCCTTGCCGCTGGATGGGTTCGTGAGACAGCTTGACCAAGGCGTCATTTTAGGAGTTCATTCGCAGCATCCCCTAAAAGGGGACTTTGAGAAGCAGCGTCTTCTTTCCGGCAGTGTGGTGCGCTTTTCCGATCGCTTAGCAATATTCTTTGCAATAAGCCTGTCAGGATACCCGTTTTCGCGAAGCAAGTGTTGGATGCTATCTGCAGAACAATTTTCTCTAGCACTTACCGCCAAACACTGGATAAGATTTCGCTCTTGCTGGGGGAGAGGGGGCAAGAAACTGCCGACCACATCACACAACACTGGGCCAAGTGCGAGGCCTAAGTTATCCCGTCAGTTGGCAACCTTCAAAGACACGGCTTTTAGCGCATTGTGATAACTTCAAACGCGTCAGATTGTTTATAGTGGGGAAAATGCGTTGAATAGACATCCACACTTCGCAGGCCCCAGCCACTGTCCGAGCCGGTCAGTTGGCAGGTGCGGGGAATGGGAGCGGTGACTGACATGGTCTAGTGACCTTGTCTGCACGCGCCACATGCACGACCTGGCCCCCCAAACACAAGCACCAGGATTTCACACAACGAGAGTGGGCTACGTGCATCTCACATGCGTGATAGTGCCAGAAGTCACGTTAAGAATGGACCATGGCGGCCTGGCTCTCAGCCCAGTAGTCTTCTTCTCCACACATGCACACACAACTGGGCAGACTGCGTGGACTGAGTTGGGCGTCAGTCAACAGGAAGAGGTGATCGAGGGAGAGGGTCGTATTAGAATACGCTTTGGGTAGGGCGGCGGTTGGAGTGAAATTGGCCGCCCACAATGGAAGGAACGATGCAGGGTATATAACATAAAGTAGCGAGCCTGCTTTGTCAGTTGGCAGTGCATTCCGGATCGATGTAAACCAAGGTCTTTGCAGGCTCCTGAGAACTGGCCGTTATGAGCACAAGACCGGACAGCCGAACTGTATGGTAGCCATCATCGTACGTACGCGCAAACTTGGGAACTTCAACCGGTTTCCCGGAGCAACTTTGAGAGCATCCCCCTACTTTTCTCGATGACCAATGCCAGATGGGGAGACAAAAGTAAAACTCGAAACAGACCAACCCTAGTTGGGAAGCGTTTGGGTTTCCTTCTGAAGGATCGAATTCTCCGACCCGCATGGGCTATTCTCAAGAAACCTGCGAGGTAGTATACGACAAGATGGAGTTTGAGGCCCCATTCTCGACTTCTTTATGAGGGAATTAATTGCTTGTGAGGATTCCCGTAAAGGTGGACCCAGGGTAAACGTACGGTGTGGGCAAATTCCAATTACAACCGAACCATTCTGATGCTCAGTCTCTTTCGCACTTGTGATTGTGGTGGTCGATCATTCCATTGGTTATGAATGCATTTGCCGGCATTCCCATAAGAAACCGTTTTTCAGTGCGACTATACTCTACGATGAAGTCTCTGTCAGCTAAACAGAAACCCCGACTGGCCTAATGACTAATAAGAATGTAGTTGTCCAATTTTGTATGTTGATTTCCTATGCGTTCTTGAAATAAACATTTTGGCGAACGGTGTTTTTATAGTAACCCTTATGGTCTGATGCTCTACTCATTTTTCATAGATCTATCGAGCTGAACTTCTCTGGAAAGTGTCAATGTATCCCTGGAATACGTGTCACAGAATGCAGCCCTTGCCGTGCCTAGATATGGCTTCCTCGAGCTTACCCAAGCCTACAGGTCCAACTTTTCCGTCGAATGTTCTGAACAGCAGTCTTCTTAAAACCTCGTTGGGCATTCAACGTTGATCTTCATTCATTTGAATCTCCCCGCATATACCTGTTTCCGTCTCTGTTTTGGAAGGGGTAATTGAGGAGAGGGGACATATTAGTAGGTAATGAAGTCTTTTTGTTTAGCTTCTTTTACCGTACATTATTGAGGAGTTTTCAATAGTCAGGAAGGACTTTGGGTGGTAGGCTTTGCCGAATTTCCTGGAGTACTTTAGCCGACAGCTGTGCACTGACATGATGGAGCGATATGCTCACTGCTAAGTCGAAATTTGTTGTCAGCCGGCCCCAAATATTCAAATTTGTATTTACCAAGAAAACCATTTCAATTTAACTTTCGAAGATGTTCAAGTATAAGTTACTTTTGCAATTAGATCGAAGAAAGTAGAAATGACCCGCAACTCCTTCGTGCATTCTCCGGCATTACTGAGATCTTCACTCCCTTCTACGCACTTACTGGTGAATATGACCGTAATTCTTGCCTCTGCATATGTAGTGCTGCAGAGTAAGCATTCATGGAATCTTCCCAACGCTGACAGGTCTGGATTGTCTGAGTTCTCGAAAAAGTCTCATTCAAAGCATCACATGGATTGTCTAGTTGCGCATATCAGAGGTGTCCTGGAATCTTACATACGAAGTCGGTAGTTGCTCGACATCCTTCAAGAAGAAATGTAATTTGGTCAGCTGAGTACCAGGTAGATCCGACAATGCTCTGACCAATTATTGACTACTTCTGCACATTCAGTTGAAATACATGGACGGTTTTCCGTTATATCCGAAAGTGGTCAATTTGCAATGGCCGAGAGCTTCCTGGTTCTAGAATAAATTATTGAGTATAACGCTGGGCAGCTTCTGCAGCAGGCCAACATATATAGTTTACGCAGGAAGACGAACTACGAAAGGACTGTAGGCCGTGTAGCAACGTCTAGGACAAGTGGCAGAATGATCGTGTTTTTTAAAGATTTCAGCATCTGCATCCCCGGGTGTCCTCAAGGAGTGAAATTTTCCAACAACAAACCTAATGGACGAAGGTGGTGCGAATCATGTTTCCTGTGCTACGTCCTCTGAACATTCATAAGTAACTACGTTAGATTTTCCCAATCGTTGAATGTTATAAAAAAAAGACGGACATGAGTGCGGTGAATGTGAAGTGGACAACGCATCTCTCAGTATGAACCAAGGCTGCTATAAATGGACTTGCTGGCAATCCATTAGGTTTGGCAGAAAAGAGGACGAGAATACAGTGTCGCAACACTTAGAATTACCTATTCCCCACCAGCCTGTCTTACGGACGGGCCACTGCAACTGCTACCACTGGCGGACTATACAATTACTACTACTACTACTACTACTACTACTACTACTACTACTACTACTACTACTACTACTACTACTACTACTACTACTGCTACTACTACTACTACTACTATTACTACTACTACTACTACTATTACTACTACTACTACTACTACTACTACTACTACTACTACTACTACTATTAATACTACTACTAATCACAACTAATGCCATCGATGACGTATTTAACACAGAGCCTAGTAATACTAGCACGAGTACCGTCAATGATAGTGCTATCGCCACGAATCAGTGTTGCGACACTGGTATCATACCGAAAAGAGGGACTGAATAATTGACTCTTTTACTTTTTACACTGCTATCCGCAAACCTTAGGCATCATAGTCGATATTTGAAGCCTTATTGAGTTGGTACTCAGGCCTATGGCCCCAGGCGATCATGAAATCAGTCTATGGGGACCTTGCGGATAAATGACAAGTTGGTCCGTTTGTAAGCTGAGTTTCTCGACAGGTGGTCGGTGAACTGGACAGGGAGCCCTGACGCGACCACGCAGTACACGTAGATGATGCCAAAACTCCACACTTGTGGAATTAGAGACCACCTGTGACGCCACTAAAGTGAACGGTGCCCTACGAGGACTTTTGTCAACTGTATCAGTAAACAGTTATCCTAGGGGAAATGCACGAGTGAAACTGGTTAGTACAACCCGGATCCCAGTTCAGTCTTCCAACTGCTTTCAGAAAATGTTGCATGTCTCTGTTGTCACCAAAATGGAAGGAGTCTTGCACAGGCAGACGAGACACTGCAGATTGTTCCCCCTTTGCAAGAATCGCTCGCTTATTTTTTCCAAATCCTCCATTTAACTCTGCCTGCATACTGCCTTGCCCAGGAGGGGGTCAAGGGTAACTCGGTGCGTAATTTTATTTACAGTGTACTTCGCTCATACTGACGGTCCCTTACGGTAACCAGAATTTGCGCGATACTACTGTTTGCTGCCTGCGGGCCAACCAACCTGTGCAAGAAGATAAGAGGGCCTCGTGAATGGTCAATGTAGTCTGATTCACTGCTTTACAGTGTTGAACGTTCTACTTGTGTTTCCTAATGCCTGCTTCCGAGGCATCCGATTGAGCACAGGTAGGTCCAGTATTCATTCGTGTGCCTATTGCCAGGCCAGTGGAACAGTCTGTACTTTCTTCATGCTTACGTCTGCATGCCTCTTGGATCGGGCTGAAAATTATGCATGTATCGAAAAACAGGTAATGCGACCCTCCTCCGGAAACAAAAACCGGGTCATCGTTCAATACGAGTTTCATCCGTGGGGCCACACGGTGGACAGGAGAACGCGACGATAGGTTAACAGTCGGATAAATGTTGTGGTGACAAACTGCGCCCTCATCCTAGATTTCTCTACAGATACTTGCAAAAGAGCACACTACCAGAAACCCGATCACAGAAGAAGGATTAGGGCATCTAACAGTGCAAGCAAAATCTGAGTGTTTTGCGCCATCCTTCCAGTTTTTTCACAAAAGAGGTGAATTACACTTCGTCTAATTACGAGAGCACGAAAGCGTTAATTATAAAAAGGCGGGAACACAGTATGCCGCGATAACCGGGTTTTGTGTTCTCTTACTAGGGTCGCATACTGCATTTTTGCCAGTTTTCGATACGTGAGTAATTTTCAGCCCGACCTGCGTTGCATTTGCGTTTAAGGTTTACAGTCTACAGGCTGTGTACTTTCCATACAGGGAAGATACCAGACATAAATCACAAAGTTTTACAATGGGTGTTGAACATTGATAAAAGAACAGATACGTTGATATTTGAACGGGCATTTCACGGTCTTAAAAATCAAACCTTCATAAACACTTTTAAGACCGAAAGACATCCTTTATTTAGTTATAAAAGTTGGAAAAAACGTGATTTACTACCACATAGCTTCAGCTCGGTGAGACTTACAATCATCTGTTTCACACTGATGGAGACAGTAATATGAACGTGGTTAATGAGGCATTTTGAGGAAAACAGCTTGCCTATTTTGCTTTAATGTGGATTTAAAAGGAATCGATCCTACCTTATTAACCTGCTCATATCCATGGACATTTGGACGAAATCAACAAAATTGGGATCATCGGTAGGCGCATTGTCCTTTGGCTTAAAACGGCTTTTAACAGTATTTCACACAGACGAACAATATTTAAATTACATTGAATGGATGTGAATGCGGATCTACTGAAATGGCTGACCGACTTTCTCACAGACAGATCACAGCGTGTCTGTATTGGTAACGCCGAACCGGGGTGGGCAAATATGCACATGGGGGTTCCACAGAGACGCATTTCGGGTCTCATCCTGCTTTTAATATTAGTGAATGACTGCTGGGATTGCCTGAACAGCGAGTGAGTAGCGTTTTCAGATAATTTAAAGTTGTGGAAATCAGTAGAAACATCAACAGCTATGCTACAGTTGTAAAATGTCTTGGATCATGTGGAGTTATGGTGTTATGAACGGTCCCTTAATCTCAACCTTCAAAAGTGCCAAGTTATTCACCTACGATCTAGCAGCATGATAATGATATGATTTGAATACTACCACTTCACTGGAGGTCGCCAACTTGAATTAATTAACGAACTAAGGAACCTCGGCATGCGGCTGACGTCCGCTCTCAAACCAGCGTCTTACTGCGCCAAGGTAACAAAGAAGACCATCGGTATCCTAGGCGCGATCAAAAGATCCTTCCTCAATAGTAACGAACAGCTTTTGGGCGTTTTATGGGATAGGCGGGCTTGCGCTAGCCCTGTTGGCCATAGCTGTTTTTTCCATGGTTCTACATGAGATTCTACTTCCCTCAAACTCCTTTTCCTGAGTTCCGCGCCGTGGACCGCGGACGGACACTACCTCTCAGCGCCTTCGCTAATTCCTACTTTCCATTAAATCGTTTTTCGATATATCGTGGCTGTCGTTTTGTACCTCGTTTTGTAAACTTGTTACCTCATTCATTACCAAAGTTAGGTCTAGAAGTTTGTACCCATGACTCTTCGTGTAGCAATGTAGCGTCTATCGTTACTTTTTCTGTTTTCTTTCCGAAATTGGTTATAATGTTTTTCCACCCTTCATTCGTTTGAGAATAAATATTTCCGTAATCATCATTTTAACTTGATTCGCCATGTCCGAATCCCGCAAATCCCCAAAGTGTCATATCACGAATTAACCCGTTTTTAGCCGACATCTTACTGATGGTCCCTCGAGGAGAACTTCAGTCAAGTTTCCCGACATCCAGCGGGGATAAGCCTCACCCTGCCTTACCCGGCTCGGCACCTACATTCAGGCACAGTAACCTCGGAGTTTATGCCGAAGATTATGCTCGCCGCACTTTGTTTTTTGGCTGATCTGGCCTTCTGAATGCGTTCGCATGGTTGGCAAAAATTTCGATGGCTGGGCGAGATAGGAGCGCGACCTGCGGTCTTCGGTTACTTGGTTGTCTAAAAATCCAGTCTTTGTGATCACGCACTCCTGCCAGGCAGGCCGATATAGGACCTTTTCTAGGTTTAAGCACATTCCTCCCCCACCTCCTCATGCTCATTGCTCTACTCCACCCCATCATCACTATTATCCTCTCATTCTTCTTCCTCCTCTCCTTCCTCGTCCTCTTCTGCCTCACCATCCTCTCCCTCTTCTCATTACTCTCCTCCTCCTC